GCAGCGACATGATTTAATACCGATGCGATGGCGGAGCTGATGAGCTTGTTGTCAGTGTTCGACAGAGAGAGCGGTCGAACGACATGTGGCTCGCGAACCCACCCCCCCCCCCCCCCCCCCCCCCTGAACCACATCACCTTTAGGCAAACATACAGCCCTGCAACGGTTAAAGCAGGGGGCGACTCTGCCTCCAGAAAGGGCGCGGCAGCACAAGGCATATAGGGCAGCACGCGTCTTTTCTCCTGTCTTCTGCCAGGCGGAATAGGGAACTCCATCTGGACCCGTGGCCGTGTCACGCTTGGCATCGATCAAACCGTTAAAGTGCTCCTCAGTCAGGACCCAGTCGAACCTCTGGTGACTACTGGTGACATACTGGGGCCCCGTACCATCAACCTCCTGGATGAACTGAAAGAGAACATGCTCAGACCCAAGACAACCTTCATCATCGTTGTCAAAAACTTGGCCCCAGCAGTCGGCAAGAAGCCTAGCAGCCTCTTCAGGGTCTGTATGAACCTCTCCCTGTGGCCCTCGGACACCCACAAGCTTAATGCGAGGCCGCCGTGCAGCCCACGCAGCAGAGAGACGCTTGACTCGACGAATGGCTTGCTCAGCAGCTCCAGAACCTAGCTCACTATGTTCACAAACTTCCCTCTCCTCCTCTTGGTACATCTCACGCATCATGGCACTGAGATGCTCATGGAATCGCCCTTGATCGAGCCAGGTCATCGTCTCGGGGTTTTAAAAAAGCGAAGAGCTGCCTGTAGCCCAGGCAAGCGCGCCGAGCATGATAGAAGCTGCCTGAACGTGCAGCACGGACAAGTTTGAGACAGCAGGCAGCCTTCTCCGGCCGCGCGCGTGCTCCCGAGATCTCGACGCACCTCCGAGTGTGGCCAGCGGCAATGTGAAATATCTCTTTAATCTCCTGCACTGCTGTCGGCGGATGCGGCGAAAGTCCAGTGGTAGCGATAAGATCCTCGACAAACTCACCGAGCTGCGGATGCCTGGCCACCCACGGGGGAATATAACCTTAACCTGTCACTGCAGGCCGCGGAGCATGCAGGCAAAGAAAAACTGGAACGTGGTCAGAAGGCTTGGCCCTGTCGGTAACCTCCCAAAGGACTCCTGTGTTAGGACGATAGTCTAGTAGTGTGACAGTGTCAATATTGCAGTAGATGCGATCGAGACGAGCGCATGTCAGCTAATTGCGTATGATAGCACGATGAGTATATGCAGGTTGTTCGACTTCGGAGTAATGAGGAAAGAGATAGTCAAATACTGTAGCTAAACGTGATGGCGATGTCTTAGGTACTGGTGGTTCAAGATAGTGTCTGCACTCTCCATGTTTGTGGAAATTAAAGCCCCCTAGCCCAATACTCATAGCCTGGAACAGCGGGAGCAGGGGACGAGAAAGAGAATGGAGAATACCGCGTGTAGCTCGTTCAGACCACTCAGGATCCAGATGGGCGCTCGTAACTTGCAATGCACCTTCAGGGCCCTGGAGAATAAGCGTGAGAATACGACCAGCCACAAGCGCGTGCGAACCAATCGACGTGAACTGCTCGGCGAGCTCCTCCCTGACCAGCAGCGCAGCACCTCCAGCACGGGCCTCCTGGATGAAAGACCCGAAGGCTCGGAATCTCGGAAAGTCGCGGGTCAGAGTCTCAAGGCCCCCTTCCTGACCATGGGTCTCCTGCGCAACAATTACATCCATCTTCCGCGCAATGCTGGCCAGAGCTTTAAATTTAGACGCGCCGTGCTTATGAGAGGCAGAGATGGAGTGGAATAGGGTCTGGGCATTCCAGGTGCACAAACGAAGCGGCTGCGCGAGCAAGAAAGGCCTGGTGGACGCTTCTGGTCCACTCGAATCAGTGTTATCTACCGTGCCCCGAGTTGAGCTGGAACTTTGCGTCGATGGAGAAGCCGAGGGACAAGTGCTGGCCGAAAGAGTTGGGCATGAGTCTCCGACTACGCAGGTAGTGCCTTCATGCTCCCAAAGAGAATGGCCATCATTGTCATCGACGTCCGACGAGTATGCCAGCGGCTCCTCCTAGATGTAGGCGGCTTCGTTGTTGACGTCCTCCATGATCTTGTGCAGCTTGTCTGTGTCCAGGGAGAGGAAGGCGACCGTGTCCTGATCGAGGTCGAACGTGAACGACGCATGGTTGCCATCCGAGCAGCTGACCAGCGGCCAAACATCATTCCCATCAGACCAATGAATAGTACCCTTGTAACCGTTGATGATAGGCTTCGAACCTGCAGTGTACCGCGGGCTCGCTCCAAAGAGCTCGATGATGGGGTCCCGCACCTTGCTGAGCGCCCTCTGGGTGGTCCTGACGTCCTTCGGCAGGTCGGACCTGGCCTTCATGAAGTGCATCGATCCGTCACGTGGATCCATCCACTGGTTCTCCGATTTGTTGAAGACCTCAGTGAACTCCTTCGCCATGGCTTCGCTGGAGAAGGTGAGCGAGTAGCTCTGGCTGATGCGATGGTACTGCGGCGTGACATTGTTCATCATCACGGGCGTCAAGGTGTTGTCCTTCCAGGATGCAAAATGTGCTTGCCTCATGCTTGCTAAAACTGCACGAGGGAAAGTGCCGATCCAGCGCCGACACTTGTCATACTGATATGATCGCGAGTTGTGCCAGTTTGGTGCTGCAGTCTCTGCCGTTGTAGTACGCTGGATCTTGGCTGCGGGCTCTGTCAACCGACTGGCCCGCGTACTGCCATCTGCTGAACCACCTGCGGAGCTCGCTCCTGAGGTCGATACATCTTGCTGAAGACGAGCGATGGCGGCACTATGCTTCTGCAGCGTTTCACGCATCTGGACAATGTGGTGCGTTTGTGCGGTCATGCCCGCGTTCTGCTCGGCGATCTTCTGCTCCAGCCCCTGGGACAGGCTGGCGAATTGCGTGGCAAAGGTCTGCGTGAGCGTGGTGCCCAGTGAGTCTATCTGCGCCTTCATGGAGGCCTCCAGGGCAGCCTGGACCTGCCTCGCGATCTCCTCGGCCATGGCGGGAGCTAGACTGGAATGAGAAAAGAAGAAGTTGTGTCCGCTCGGGCTCTGCTCACTCAAAGAGATGTAGAAGTAAGTACCCCCCAGTACCCACCACGCCCACTTGAGCCAAAATGGCAACGGAGGAGGAGGAGGACGACGAGGAGGAGGAGGAGCACAAGACCGACGAGGAGGGGTTACAGCATGGCAGCGTGGAAGGCGAGGAGGACGGCGCGGATGAGCGGAAGAACGTGGCGGACGGACGAAGAGGGTGACAACGAAACCGCATGTTCATGGGCGGGCGCTGCTCTCGTCTTCCCCCCACCCCCTGCACGCTGGCCAATTAGCCGTTCGGTTGCCCTGACTAGCCACACGCTGGAGCGGACTGCCTCTGCCCCGCCGCCGACGAAAACAGTTCCCGGGCGGGATGGGGGAGCCCAGGGCAATCATCGGCCACGAGTGGGCGATTGGGGAGTCGATGCGCCCCCCCCTGAGCCTGCCTTCAGGTCGGGCATGTCCTCCTACAGGTTTCTTCTCGAGGAAAGCCAAGCAATAATCAAACAACACAATATCTAAACATATCGTCAAACACATGATAGAAAAATCGCCCCGTACTCGGGGGCGGCAAAAAGGGGGGCGTCCAAGAGGGGGGGGGTGCAAATCATGACCGGCGGCACGTGCGCGGCCCAGCGGGGGGGCCAAGGACGTACCGAACTAAGAAGAAGCGCCATGACATCTGGGGAGATATTATGGCCCACGCCATGATATCCCCCCCCCTAGTCATCACCCCCCTCTTTGCCGCCCCCGACATGCCATTCTTGGACTGTTTTTGGCTCTTCCTCCTGGAAGGGGACATGCCCGACTTGAGCCTGCCCCCCCCCCGACGCTGCCCCGTGTGTGTGTGTGTGTGTGTGTGTGTGTGTGTGTGTGTGTGTGTGTGTGTGTGTGTGGGTGTGTGTGTGTGTGTGTGTGTGCGTGTGCGTGTGCGTGTGCGTGTGCGTGTGCGTGTGCGTGTGCGTGTGCGTGTGCGTGTGCGTGTGCGTGTGCGTGTGCGTGTGCGTGTGCGTGTGCGTGTGCGTGTGCGTGTGCGTGTGCGTGTGCGTGTGCGTGTGCGTGTGCGTGTGCGTGTGCGTGTGCGTGCGTGTGCCCACGCTGGCCCGAAGAAGTCTGCGCGTACCTCTGGGAGTCCGTGCCCCCGCGGGGGGTCACGCGACACCCAGACCTCGGGCGCCCCGAGCAGACATCGAGACGGAGGCTTCTCGTGGCTTCTGGCCTCTCGGGGCCCTCACCGGGCCTCCGGGCCGTCCACACAACGGCTCGGGATGAAGGGCCGGCCCCGGGGAAGCGGTTGGGAGGTCGGGGGCCCGCGTCTCGAGAGAACCGAGACGTCGGATGTCTGGGGACCTCGCCTGGGGGTGTGTTCAGAACACACTTTCGAAGCGAACTTGCGACGAGGGCCGGTCGGGAGGCCCAGCCGAGCGAGATCGAGGCTCAATGGGTGAGCGGTCTCGGCGCCTTCTCCCTGGACGCGCGGTGTCCTGACTCGTTCCTATGCGACTCTCCGACTCATGAAGCGACGGTCGAGATAGCCACATCCTAGGACGCTCTGCTCAAGGCCGCCACTGGGGGAGGGGGAAGAGGAGGAGGGGGAAGAAGGAAAACACATTGCAAGGGCCGGGCCGTCCCGACGGGGCCCCCCGTGAGTCCCGACCCTTACCTTGCCGCAGGGACCGGCTTTTGGTCCCGAGTCGTTTCTGGACGGTCCCGGGGCCTGGTGAGGACCCACAGGAGGCCGAGCCAGGGCCAAACAAAAAACCTCCCGCCGTGATGTTTGCCACGGCGCGCGCGCAGGTCTGGGCCCTCCTCGGAGCTGATGCCACTCCTCATCCTGCTCCTCCTCCTCCTCCTCCTCCTCCTCCTCCTGCTCCTCCTCCTTCTCCTCCTTCCCCCCTCCTCCTCCTCCTCCTCCTCCCTCCCTCCCTCCCTCCCGACTCCTCCTGGCCCAAGCGGGGTCCAGGTGCTCGTCGGTGCACTGGTCCCCTGGCGAACCCTTGGCCGAGAAGCCCTCGTGCCACCCCCGGCCGGGCGCCTCCTCCAGGATGCGGCGGCAGGCGGCCTTCGCGGCCGCGCCGCCCCTCCTCCGCGTGGGGGCGGAGGAGGAGGAGGAGGAGGAGGAGGAGGAGGAGGAGGAGGAGGAGAAGGAGGAGGAGGAGGAGGAGGAGGAGGAGGACGAGGAGGAGGAGGAGGAGGAGGAGGAGGAGGAGGAGGAGGAGGAGGAGCATTCGGCGGCGCGCCCAGGGGGAAGGCGAAGCCAGGGCGAGGATAACAACGGAGGATGATAAGCCCATCGGGCGTCTGGCAGACATCGAGACGGAGGTTTCTCGTAGTTTCTGGCCTCTCGGGGCCCTCACCGGGCCTCCAGGATGCTGCGGCAGGCGGCCTTCGCGGCCGCGCCGCCCCTCCTCCGCGTGGGGGCAGCATTCGGCGGCGCGCCCAGGGGGAAGGCGAAGCCAGGGCGAGGACAACATCGGAGGAGGATAAGCCCATCGGGCGTCTGGCAGACATCGAGACGGAGGCTTCTCGTAGTTCCTGGACTCTCGGGGCCCCGCACGGGGCCTCGGGACCGTCCAAAAACGGCTCGGGATGAAAAACTGGTGCCTGGGAAGTGGTCGGGAAGTCGGGGACCCGCGTCTCGAAACAATGGAGACGTCGGATGTCTGGGAATCGGGAATATCTACGGTCTGGCGGCTCATGAGGATGTGTCGGGCGCCGCGGCCTTCTTAGAGCGTTCCGGGACGCTCTGAACGCGTCCTGGAACGCCCTGGAAAGGATTTATCCTCGTCCTAGCCCCGTCCGAAGGGGGAATGCAGATGGGGCGGGCCTTCTCACAAAAGCCCAAGAGGCCTCCGGCTTTCTGAGAAGCCTTCTCCTCCTTCCTCCTCCTCGTCCTCCTCCTCATCCTCCTCCTCCGCGTTCTCCTCCTCCTCCTCCTCCTCGTCCTCTTCCTCCTCCTCCTCCTCCTCCTCGTCCTCCTCCTCCCCCCAGGCCTGCTGAGCCTTCTCCGGAGACAGAGGGGGCGTCTCCGAAGGCCAGAGGGCTCCTGAGAGGCCCCGTCGCCTTCTGAGGAGGTCTGCCCCCCGCTCACTTCCTCCCACGATGTGCCGCCGAAGTAGTGTACCGCTGCCGCTGCGGTTTGCTCACGTCACGCTTGTTCTTGGCCCTGCATGCCCCGAGGCTCATGGACACCCGCTTGCAGGCAAGGCGTGCTGGCCTGGATGTGTGGTTGGATGTCGCTGCTTCGGGATGAGCTCAGTGAGATCTGCTCACCGCTCGTGATCCATGGCCAAGCTCTGCCCAGTCGTCGCCCACAATTTTTGGGAAGTGGTGGTCGTACCGCCACAGACGACGCAGCACATTGCTAGATGTCGCTGTGGATCACATGGTTTCTCGAGGTGTCGTAGATATACCAGTTGCCAGACTTGTAGGACCTGCCCGCATCTGCCTTCTCACGTCGCGAAGGCGGCCGCATTGGTTTCTGACACCGCGTGTATCGTTCGACATGAAGCGGCCGCAGCCTTCCGATGGCGCAGATGCTCAGTACCAGCCGATTCGAGGACCCTGGCGCCGTTCAGCCTTGCACACCCGCGGTGGGGTCGCCGCCGCCTCAACACGTCGCGAACCTGCTGGACCCCTCGGACCTCTCCTGGGGTGCGCTCTGACCTGGACCCCGAGGAGTATCCAGACGCAGCGGTGAGGCCACCCCCAAAGAGACCCCGCCGCCGCCTCCTCCGCCTCCTCCGCCTCCTCCGCCTCATCCGCCTCCTCCGCTTCCTCCGCCTCCTCCGCCTCATCCGCCTGCTCCGCCTCCTCCTCCTCCTCATCCTCATCCTCCTTCTTCTCCTCCTCCTCCTCCTCCTTCTCCTCCTCCTCCTCCTTCTCCTCCTCCTCCTCCTCCATGCCTTCTCCTTATAAATACGTTCTCCCTGTCGCACCCCGAGGCCAGCTTTCGGGCGGCCGGAAGACATCCTCACCATGTATGATTCTGAAGCTCGAGAAAAGGCGACAGTTTCACAGGTGGAGGGCAGGTGGTTTTCAAAATATGGCTCTCGCCGTGGCGCCGCGCACATTCGTATTGCAAAATTGCAAAAGTTTCGCTGAGTGAGGGCGGGTGGTTTTCAACATGTGGGTCTGACCTTAGCGCCGCGCACATTCGTCTTAAAGACTTGCAAGAGTTTCACCGATGGAGGGCGGGTCGTCTTCAACATGTGGCTCTCGCCTTAGCGCCGCGCACACTCGCCTTACACATCTGCAAGAGTTTCACGGATTGAGGGCAGCTCCTTTTCAACATGTGGCTCTTGCCCTGGCGCCGCGCGCACACTCGTCCTGAATATTTGCAGGGGCTTCTCGGATTGAGGGCGGTTCCTTTTCAGCCTGTGGCTCTCGCCTTAGCGCCGCGCGCATTCGTTTTCACACATGCACGAGTTTTGCGGATCCCCATGATCAACGTACCAGGAATTGCGCTGTGGAAGGACTCAGGCTTATGAGGGTGTACACATTTGTGTTGATTCGCGGCGTTTCAAGTCCCAGGAAGGGCGTTCTGGCACGGTTCAGGATCGCCCAGACGCAGCAGTCAGGTTGATCAGTGGCGTTGGAATCCCGAGAACCATGTTGTGGCATGCTTTAGGGGCTTCACACAGTTCGTTGCCTTCCAACGAGGTAGCTCCCTCAATACAAATGAGCCGTTGTATGGGGCCTGTGACGAGGGAGCTTGGAGGGAGGGTGTCTCCCAAGACCTTTAATGCCTCTTGGGTTTAAACTGGTCCTCTTCCTCCTCCTCCTCCTCCTCCTCCTCCTCCTCTTCCTCCTCCTCCTCCTCCTCCTCCTCCTCCTCTTGGGCATAGGAATTGGTACATGTTCCCCTCTGGTCCTCAGGGCTCGGATGTCCGCAGTGATGCCAACCCACTCGGTCCTGAGCTGCCGCGGGCCGCCGTCGCTGCCAGAGGCACCGATGGGAGTTTCGGAACCGCTGGGGACTGCAGACGCGCACTTCAGGAAGGGGTCGTCGACACTCCCAGGCTCGTAGCGGTCCCTGCGCTGGCGCTTAGCCTTTGGGCTCGCGGCCTCCTCCTTCCGAAGATTAGCACAACTGCAAAATATGTTCAACTTTCGGAGGTCCGCGTGGACTCCTTGTGTCCGCGATCGCCCGCCCTCACCGTGCCTCTGGCGGCGCCCCTGGCCAAAGAGAGGGTCCAGCGTCGACTCGAGGAATCCGCGCGGACCTCTACATTTTGATGTTCACCTCGTTTTGGTGGTATTGGATCCTCGTCCCTTCCCTCCTCCTCTTCCTCGCGTTGCCCAGGGGGGCTGGAAATCATGTCGATGATGGCCGCCTCGCAAGCGTCGCGCGGGGGCCTGGCGACGAAATCGTCTGCCACGTCACTGGAGACACGATACCAAATGGTCGGAACGGCCGCACTGAACCAGAAGAAGGTGCTGTCGATGTATGTCCGCCACTGCTTCTTGAGTCTCGCATACGCCTCCATCAAAATTCGCCGACCACCTGGGCACCCCCGGCGTATGAAAGAGAGGTTTATCAGCTACAGTGGAGGCTAGTCCACAAGAGCCTTCCCACACGAAGCTCAACCCCGAGACCCCAGGACGCCCCTTGCTTATTTGTTGAGGGAGCGTCACGCTGTCCAAGATAAAACCATAGAAAACCAAGAAAAACCCAGGGCACCCGGGAGGCAAGCAGGGTGCTCTTTGGCATGGGTCTCCACTGTACATGTTTTGAGCGGACCGCCTTCCTTCGGGGAAAAGAAGGGGGAGGAGGAGGAGGAGGAGGAGGAGGAGGAGGAAGAAGAGAAGGAGGAGGAGGAGGAGGAGGAGGAGCAAGAGGAGGAGGAAGATTACCAGGATTACCGCCATCGCAGGTGCGATACAACATGAGATGACTACTCCCCTCCAGCCTTGCAAGCCTTGTGGCCATAAGATTCGTCATGTTAGAAAAACCCTTGTCGCTAGTCGAACGGCGGACCATCCCGATGGGATGTCCCTATGTTTCCCGGTTTTTGTCAATGACTGCCCTGATGGCTGTCCAGATAGGCGTCCCGATATTAGCCCGATGATTGAGGAGGGACCGCCCGTCCTGGCATTCCTATAGGCCTACCACGAAATTTGCTTAGAACCCCAACATGTGCTAAGAACAAGAACCATGTTGTTAGAACAGAGAGAACGCGTTTCACGGGCGCTTGCCTTGGGAACATTCGGCGGCGCGTTTCAAACAGGGAGGGTGGGCCCCCCCCCAACACTCGGCGCCGTCGATCAAAACCAGGGGGACTCCCGTCCCCCCAAGCCCCCCCCCTCCCGAACCCCACCCCCCCTCCCCACCCCCCCTCGGCGCCGGCGCCGGCGCCGGCGCTGGCGGCCGCCACCAGCGCCCACGGCGGGGACGCAGCGACGATGACCAGAGGCAGCTCAAGGTGGGGGGGGGTTCAACCCCCTCCCCCCCCTGGGGCCCAGGGGGGATTCAAAACCGTCCTTCCCCCCCCCCCTTTCGCGCCGGAGCCGGCGGTGGCGTCGGCCAGCAGCGCCGGCGCTGGCGCCGGCACCTGCGGGGACGCAGCGACGATTACCACCACTACCACCACCACCACTACCACCACCACCATCGCCTCATCCCGCCACCACCACCACCAACAGCACCACACAACCACCACCACCACAGCCACCACCACCATCACAACAACCACCACAACTCACCATCACCACCACCACCACCACCGCAAAAACCCACCACCACAATCTACCACACCACCACCACCATCACCACCGCCACAACCACTACCAGCAGCACAACCTACCGCCACCACCACAAACCACCACACCACCACCACCGCCACCAGCACCACCACAACAAACGTCCACAAACCCCCCCCACCACAACCCACCACCACCACCACCACCACCACCACAACACAAACCACACCACACCACCACCACACCACCACAACCCACCACCACCACCACTCACCACCACCACCACCACCAAAACCCACCACCACTACCACCACCACCACCACAATCGACCACACCACAACAGCCACCGCCACAACCACCACCACTACCAACAGCACAA